TTTTAATTTACTAAGATTATGCTACAACTTTTGCTGAAGCTCACGTTATTACCACAAGCACACCACTCTTACATGAACAACATAAGAAGAATTAGCAGATCCCAAATACTTAAAACTTGGAGGCTTTATCAGACTAGTCTGTACATGGTTTAGGATTAAAAATTAAGATCTATAGAGTTGAGCTAAAGTTACAACATCCTCATTCAAATCAGAATGTATCAGAATATCCTCACTTGGTAGCATTTCCCTGGAGTTCTCACTGAAGCCTACAGTATTAAGATTAGCCTTGATTAGATGATTTGTTTTGTTTTTGTGATTCCTTTTGAGCATGTTTCTGAAGCTACTGTCATCTTTTATGAGAGGAGAGGGATGAATTGGCTCTGGAGTATCATCAGTACGTTAAAGCTAAAATGCAGGACAAAGCCTTCCCTGGAGGGCAGGTAGAGCAGAATACAGTGGGAGAGATGAAATTACCTAAGATTTGGGTTGGAGCTTGTCAAGCTAGCTTGTATGTAGGTTACACAGAGTTAAAGCTTCTAGAGCTAGGCTAAGAATATGATATCTTCAGTTATTTCAGAATGGGCCAGATCTAAAGGGTCCAGTGAGAAAACATACCTCTGTCATTTGGACTAAATAAGAGATAGGTTTTATATAACATTGATTGGTTAACAGTAAATCATTTTTCTTAAACTCAAATCCTTCAGCAAATTTGACCTTAGACATTTAGTCTTATAAATACTGAAGGAATTCTACTCTTGGCCAACTGAAGCAGTACACCAAAACCAGACATCCAGTTTGCAAACCAGTTGTGATGAAGGGCAAGAGCTGTTTGCCACCTCAAAACTTCTTGAACTTCACTACTTCTGGTGTTTGTGTTGGAGTTATTGGGGACATTGAGTAGGAGTACTTGGGGAAATGGCCCAAGTTTGTTTCCTTGCTTTACCTGAGAAAATGCCAGTAACATCATAAAAATATTGCCTGTTGTCTTATCTTCTTCCAAATGTGTTGTTGAATAAAAAATTGCCCCATGGGGAAAAAAAGTCAGAATAATCTGGGATTTGCTTTAAAATACTCCAGGTAAAAAGGTGGGAAAAGAGATAGGTGGAAAAACAAGATGTTATATGCTGGGATTCATTATACTGTTTTTTCCCACTTTGATGATATTTAGAAATTTTTATATTAAAACACACATGCACACCCCTGTTATCCCCGCCTAATATCATTATTTTGGGGTTGTCACCGAAGTCCACAATATTGTCACTAACCTATCATTTCTGTTTAGACAATTAGTTTTGTATTTTGTTGTTCCTTTAGAACAAGTATAGCAAACAACCCTCATCTTTTGAGAAATGGGAGATTGAAAAAGGAATTGCTTCTGGAGTGCCATCGATATGTTTCACCCAGTGTTCAAGACCTACCCTCTCCCAGACAGTAAGTAAAGTAAAATACAGTAAGGAGTAAGTAACAGAGACTAAATTGCTTAGGTTTTTGTTCGAGATTGACAGGGCAATGTAGTAACTGCTTCAGCGGTTTAGT